TGAAATCGAATGTTTCCTTCACAATTTCCAATTTTCACACCCAACCACCCACACACCCACACACAGGCACACACACAAACACAATCGACAATCGTTTTCAACAATTTATGATTTATTTATGCAGTTCAGGTTCGCTGCCATTCGACCCAGCCCAACCCAACTCGACCCGACCGACTTTTGTTTACCAGCAGTTGTGGCTAAAAAATAAAGGATATTCCCCAGACCAAGTTGGCAAGGCAGAAAACTCCATGAACGGAATAACAGACGAAAACAATAATAATAATAATCGAGTAGTTACGACATTTAAGGAAACATTTAAAGGAATTCTCTTTCCCATCGTGCTATCCTTGCGTTTTTTTTTCTGGTTGGAGCTGTCAAATGTTTTTCAGCACTCCAATTTTTAAGTAATTCGATTCAATTCAATTCTCAATTGTTTTCTACCTCTCGGTCAGAGCAGTTTGTTTCCAATTTGAACTGGTGAAAAACAAAAACAAACAAAAACGAAAAGTTTTCTTTGATTCTCGTCGCGTTGTGTGTTCAGTAGTAAATAATTCGAGTGCATGTGTTTGGTTTTTTGTGAGAATATTACTATCAATAAAACTAATTAGGAAAAAGTGTAAGTACAAGCACACCGACTAACAAATTAAGACAATTAAAGTTAGCAAGAAGTTTCCGACGAGAAGTCTCTGCGGCTTTGGGTTAATGTAAATTCATTTAAAATTGCTTTACGTACTCCCCCACCTGTTTCGGGGCTGTCGATATTGCCACGTAAAGGCTGCTCCTCGGGGAGTATGTGTTACTCGTGTGTGGGTGGGTGTGTGTGTGTGTGTCACGGCAATTTAATTAGCGAGCACATAACTCTGATGAAATATTCAGCGAGTTTTCCCGGCAAAATATGCGCACAGCTCAGCCACAGCACACAGCTTTGCCCTGGGTTGATTGCCAGCCAGCCAGGGCAGCCAGCAAGCCCCTCCAGCCAGGGAATACCTACTCTATGGTATGGCAATTCATTAGAACACCTCATAAAAATCAATTAGCGGCATATTTCAGTTCCGTCCCATCCCGCAACCCCTCAAACGATCCCCAGGGTCAAAAATTCTTCAAGTGGCTTGCGGCTGTTGCCTGCCTGCTGCTGCTGCCTTCTCTATGGACGATTAGCCGGGAGCTTTGATGTCTCACATCGAAAAAGCTCCACATACACACATACAGCACACCTATACAACACATGCATAAAGCCATACTTTATAAAGTTGACAGGGCTCAAAATGATGACTCACAAATTAGGGCAGGGGGCAAGAAGCAAGGGATACGGGCTCTATGGGAGATGACACACACGAAAATCACAAAAATATTACTGGTGGAAAGTGTTGTATAAGTGATATATTTCCTAGGTACAAACCGCAACAACCCCATCAAACGATAAATCATGGAAATAATTCTTTAAAAAAATAAATCTAAAAAAAAACAATCGATTAATTTTAATTTAAAATCATAGTCGGCCTTGCTTTTCAAAATGTCAAAATAACTTTATAAGCGCAATAAAAGAGAGAGCACACAATTAAGCTGTTTCATAGATAAGTCGCAGCATCCAAAGAAAATCCAAAACAATTTCATTCCCCTGCTGGACATGCTGTACGGTCTCCGAGCGCTGTGCTGGTCCATGTCCTCATTCATTTCCGTCCCCATCTGCAGCTCTAGTGGCAACTCAAACGCAAATATGAATGACGAATTACACACTTTAACTGCCAGGCTGACAGCCACTCACTTGCCCAAACACAGCCCACACCCCGCACCCCACCACACACCACACTCATCCGAGTGCACAGGGAAAATAACAGTAAAATAAGAGAATGCAGACAAGAAGTAAGACGAGGAGGATAGACTACGACGAACGCAGTCTGGGGGCAGGCACATTAAATTATGCTGACAAGGCAGAACGGACAGGACAGGGCAGGGCAGGGCAGAGCACAGCAGAGAGGCTGTCAGGAGGAGGAGCTGCTATGGTTAGGTGTACAAGAGACAAAACTTGGCGGGCAAAATCAGCCACAGTTAACGTCAAAGCTAACACACGAACAAGAGACCAACGAAGAGATGGCAAAAAGCTGAACGCAGCAGCCAAAAGCTGAAAAGCAAAGACGAGGACGAGAACGTGAACATGAACGAGTAGCAGCAGCAGCAGCAGCAGCAGGACGAATTTGATGGAATGGAATGGCAATGGGATGGCTGACTGTATGGTTGGGACCCGGACACACACTGACAAAAGCAGCCGTGGGCCAAATGAAGCAGACCCCGATGATGATGATGATTCTGATGATGATGATTCGGGCGAGTGGCTTGTTAAAATTCCAGCAAAACGTCAGACAAGCAGTCACCCTGCTACGTATCTGCTTCTCCCTGTGGAATGTGTGTGCTGCTGTGTGTGTTGTTGTCAATGCAATAAAATGAAAATGAAATAAAATAGACAAAATGGTGGCAAGCAGACGGACAGACGGCAAAAGCCTTGAGGCCAAATATGGCTGGCTAAAAGTTGCCAAAATGCCCAAAATGTAGACTATCCTGATAAGCGAAATATAAGCTCATGCGAGTTTGTGCCATGGGCTGAAACAGGAGCGGAGTTGCAGCCAAAGGGTTGAATCGAAAAAACATCTAGCTGCAGTTCAATTCGAGTCTAAACAATTGAGTTTCACAAGCTGACAAATTATGGGGATTGCAAGCTTTAGCTTTATCCAGAGCTAACCGCACAAACCATTTCATCTTCTGCTCGTATTCCATCCTATTATCTCTGCTGTGACACATTCCCCACAGCCCGCTCCTGCTGCCAGAGAGTTTGGCGGGGGGGGGGTGTTCGGGTCTGGCTAACAGAACTTAAATGCCATTAGCCCTCGTCCTGGCACTCGACACTTGGGTCCTGCCACACGGACACACGGGGACACAAGTAAAGAGGGCGCTCAAGCGAAGGACGATGCGGGTGGGACGGTGTGGTGGTGGTGGCAAAAGCGTGCCAGGTAACTAATACACACACTTACACAGAACTAAGCTACTGTACGTGCCCCACACACACAGCCCAGCACAGCACAGCACAGCACAGCAGGAGGGCGCACTCTTTTTTTGGACGTCCTTCCGCCCACACACGACTCCCTCTCTCCCACTCTCTCTCTCTTTCTCTGCATAGCACACTACTACATACTCTAGCTCACTCCCCACATGACTCTGTCTCTCTCTGTCTGCTCTGTTCTGTGTTCTGTGTGTGTGTCGGTGCGGGGTGCGGGCTGCTGCCAAGGCAATTGAAATAACTTCTTCCGCTTGCCTGCGCTGCTTCCGCTGCTTGAATTTGTCCCCCAAATCAGCCTTCCTCTCTCCCACCCCACTTCGGTTCACTCCCTCTCAGACCAGACCCCCAAGACCTCATCATCGTTTTGGAAAAGCTCAACAGACTTGAACTGGCATTGCTCTTGCCTTTGCCTTCCTTTTGCCATTTATTTCCTTTTATTTGGCTTTAAGTGATTTGGCATGGCCTTGGCCACATGCTGCCGTTGCCATGTTTCCAGCAACATGCAGCTCTCTCCACAAAAAAATGTTGCGAGAGAAATTTGTCGCTCGGGTGTCCCGTGTGGCACGTCTGTGGGTGTGGGTGTGGGTTGCTTCGTTTCCATGGCCTCTCTGCCTTTGCCGCTGCTTTGCTGGCAATAAAAAACATTTAAGCACGCATTACCGTTATTGAGCGCCCGCTCTGCGCTGCTTCAATCTGACATTTTGGACTGCGGCAACACGGCACTGAGGGCAACGTCGACGTCGACGTCGTTTCTGCTGGCTTCTTGTGTGTGTGGGTGGTTGGGTGTTTTGCTGGGGGTTGGCTTGGCAGTCTGCCGAAAGTTCTGGGAAAGAGCACGAGTGGGGGGAGGTGTATGAGTGTGCACTTTGAATTAATTTAAATTGCTTTTGGGGGTTGTCAGATCTGTATTATGGCGACACATAACGATGCGTTGACAAGTCAGGGGGGCAGACTGTTGCCAACAAATTAACTGCACAGCACAATGTTTGAATAAACGTTAGCATTTAATTGTTGAATTGTGGGTCAGCCTTTGGCTTAGGCAAATAAAATTATGAACTTCTGGGGCTCTTAATATGTATCCTCAAATATACAAATATAATTGCATTTATGCATCATTTTGCCTGGCACATTTTCGCACTTTTATTGCGGACTCAACGAATTAACTGAAATTGTGTCACACTCAAATGTTGTGCCATAAATTTTCAGCTGGCACTCGCAGCAGTTGCAAAAACAAACAAGGACTCAGATACAGACACTCACACAATGACATATGTACAAGGACTGCTGTGCAACAGAGAGCCAGGAACCCCCCACCAAGTCCAACCTCTCTTGCCACTTGCCACTTGAAAACGTATGTGCCTGCCTAGTTGAATCCATCCTCTACTCGCTGACTCTGCCCATCTCCATCTCCTTCTCGTACTCGCTCTTGCTTTTGCTCTCCCTCTCTCTCTCTCTCTCTCTCTCTCCCCCCTCTCTGTCGTTCTTTCGCAATGATTGTGCAACATTTTGTTATGCAAATCACAACGCAGTGCGCCAGGAAATAGGCTACGACTGACCCACCCAACTTTAACCCAGTCCCAGCTACAACCTCCAACCCCAACCCAGAAGCCATTCCATTCCCCCCCTCAAGGCCCAGGGTTGGCTAAGTAAGTTGAACTACATTCCGCACAGGCAGCAAGTGGCAGGCAACGGACTGACGCTGTATTTTATTGCATTACTTTTGGGTCTGGCTCTGGTTCTGGGTCTGGATCTGAGTAGGAAATGTTGGAAAATAAGGAAGCGAAGGCCTCGCTTGGGGGGAGGTGGTAAAGGAGGCGGGCGGACAAATTACATTACCAGCCGTCGGATGGCAGAAAGACCATTAACAACTTGACGACAAATGTGCAGCTGTTGAAGCTAATCCAACATCCCCACTTAAAGCGACTCTCTCTCTGCTCCCTCTTTGCAGGCAACCTTTGGCCTAAATGATGCCCGAAACTGAACGCGACTCGCAGTTGGTGGCAGCTGAAATGGTTAGCGGTGCCCTGGGGCATGGTTATGGCATAGTCAAGGATCAGAAGCAGCATCATCATCAGCATCATCATCAGCAGCAGCAGCAACATCCCAGTCATCCGCATCAGCACCAGCTGCAGCTGCAGCAGCATCAGCAGCAGCACAACTCCACCGCCGATCTCTACAAGATGGCCACCAGCACCTATGTGTACAGCAATCCTTTGACCATACCACCCACATCCGTGTCATCGATGGTCAGTCCGAGCAGCAAGGAAAAGCTGGTCAATCTGCTGCGCGTGCGCGACAACAACAATTGCCACCAGAATATGGGCAGCCCGATCTCCGCCAGCACGCCCAATAGTTGCAGTCCACCAACGACATTTCTGCAGAAGCAACTGGAAGCGACACCCACTAGACCCAGCTCAGTGCATCCACAGCAGCAGCAACAGCAGCAGCAACATCAGCAGCAGCAGCGTCGCTCTGCTGCTAGCACACCCACATTAACACCCACACAAGCCCCAACCAACTGGCATGCCCATGTCTATGCCCGTCCACCCAATCGTCCAACTCCGCACTCTATAGCCGACATCCTGGGCATGGCCGTGGGCGAGAAGTGTGTGCCGGAGAGCGCCTTCGATCCAACAGGTCCGGCCAAATCGCCCAACAGCATTCTGCAACAGTACCAGGATCAGGCACCCATGCGCAGCGCCTCCATCTCGATGAGCGATGCCAGCGAGGAGGATGGCTCTGTCCATGCCAATGCAACTGGAGCTGGAGCTGGAGCTGGTGGAGGGCCAACTGCGCCCATAGCTGCCACCCCGCTCGATCAGCCATTAAATCTGTGTGTGGCCAAAAAGTCACGCGATGCTCACAACAGCTCACCCATGCCCTCAGCCTCCAAGCAGACAACACTCCTCGGCAAGACCAAGAAGGGTAAGTTGATACCCCTTAAAGGAGGGAATCCTTAATGTTTATGAAGCTTTTTGTTAGCCTCCTCTGCCACAAGAATCTGCCCTTTTCAAGGGTATCCAACGCTTCGTTTCCTTCGTTTGCAAGCTCCACATTGCTCTCATTATGCCTTGTGCTGATCTCCTGCCATCATAGCAACATATTGGCGCCGCGGCTGCATATCTGTGGCAACGCTCTACGAGCCTGCCAATTGAGCGGAGCGCAGAGCTCTCAACACGCTTCAGCGAAGCGTGCGGCGGGCAACGCGGCGTATGCCTGTTCTGCCAACTTAAATGATGCCCATCGCAGGCATTCCCGTACGGCGCTCTCCGTCTCCTATTTTCGGCTGTTTGTTTGTTTGTTTTTTTTTTTTTGTTTTTTTGGCATCCAAAATACGGCTAATGGCCTGGCCATTAGGATTTACCACACTCCAGTTAGGATTCGACTCGACTCGGGAAGCCAATCAATTTTCTGCAGAATTTAGCCACCATTAATAGGTAATTACATTCTTTTTGTTCGACATTCGTAAGTGAATGCTCAAAGAGCTCTTGGAAGTTGTGTCCTCATTCACATATATTCTGTTTATAAATTGATGATGCTTAGGTAGAAACAATTCCTTTTAGTTACCTTTCAGCCATTAGCCTACGTGGCATGGTCACCAGGATCTTATGACTGCTTTTGGCCGCGTTTAAATTACAATTTTGTAGCCCAAGCAATGTCAACACATTGTAATATCCACTAAGAACAGCTAATTAAACCCTGGCAATGTTCTTTATTTAATAGGAAATATTTACGTAGCGCATTCGAAAATAGTTTGCAACTTGTCACGGCCATTTGTTCAAATTATATCAAGACGACAGCTTCACGAATTTGATTACTTTGTATTTGCGCTGCGATTTGCTCGGTTCTGATAATTAATTAAGAATTGAAAAGCGCGAAATTTAATTGGCTGCACTCGTTTGGCTCGTTCTATGCATTTTAATTTTGAATTTGCGCCGCATTCAAATGATTTAATTCGAAAGAGGCCAACATGAAATCCTCTACAAAATACAGAGCTCAGAATAGCAACAAAATGCAATTAGCAACAACAATTGTAATAACATTGCGAATGCGAAATGGCAATCGACAACGAAATATACATACAATAACAAATGATGAATAGAGAATTTGAATTTGAATTCGATATTTGTTGCCTCTTTTGTTGCCACTTTTGTTGCAGTTTTCAGTTTTGTTTTTGCGCGTTAATTGCTCAATGCTCAATAATGCTGTGTTCAATTTTTATTGTTATTAAAATCACGTACCAGACTTGGCCAAAACAACATTTACAACAAACAAACTGCCTGCCACTCATTCTGCCCCATTCTGATCGAATGACGAACGAACCTCCAGACAACATTTTCCAGCCACATCCGACTCTGTTTGTTCCAGTCATCGGTGTGGGGTAATTATAATTACCCAGTAAGCGTAGCCACACACAGGGCATATTGTAGTCCGACACAAATAGGTGAAAGTAAACATTTTTAGTTATTTCTGGAGCTGAATTAATATTCTGAATTCTTCGACAATCCTTCGTGTGTTTTTTTTGTCTTTTTTGAGGCTTACGCAGATAAATATTGTTTCAATTTTATTCCACTTATCCATACAACTTTTCATACCAATAAATACGGATATTGTCTGAGTAGATATCTTCATTCTTTTAATATAATATATAGCCCCGAAAATATTTTTTTTTAATTTCCAAAACAACGATTTGTCGATTTGGCGCAGTTTTATAATTTTCACTCGGCGTTGGCAGCGCCGATATCCAAAACAATTAATAGCTTAAAAAATTAATTGTATGACCTTTTATAAGATTTTTCTTTTCGTGTTGATATAATGACTGAAGACTGAAGATATATTGAGCCAAAGCTGAAGTTTTCTACCATTTTTAATGAAATTTTTTAGATTCCTATCTAATTTGAGTCTTAACCGTAATGAAGGTTAATGAGTACCAGATATGCCCTTGTCGAGGCTGCCGGGCAGCAAGTACTACTACCCCAGAATTAAACCATCCATGGCGGATTGTGCGAGTTCTGTTCTCATTTTATTTGCTGTTTACCCAACAACAAAACGACATTTAAATGGCTCTCTGGACTGGGCCTAATCAAATGACATGGCAATTGCCAATTGGCGTTAAGCCGAACAACAACAAGCAACAAAAAACAACAACAAACATTAGTGCAAACTTTTGTATTGTTATTGTTCTAATTGCACAAGCTTTTTGGGGCTCTTTTGTCTTATGTTGGCGTTGTTTTTGTTGTTTTTTGGGGGCTTTTAAGGCTTTTCCCCGCCTGCTCTTGGTTTTTGTTTGTATTTTGCCATTTAGTTTTATTGATTTCGCGCCATTGGGGCGCCCTATGCGCTCGAGTGGACTCGGCTAGACGCGACTGGACCTGGTTGGGCTCTTTGGGGGGTGGTGGTGGGTGGTTCCATAGCAAAAATTGCCAATTACCAGAGGCGACAACGGCACAGCGACACAACGGCACAACGACAATGGCAATGATGTCGCCCTCCCCGGCTAATTAATCACAGTGTCAGGCATATGTATGCGACTATGTGCCATATGAGGCCAGGCCAGCGCAGGCCAGGCCGGAGCGACCCACGCGGCGTATTAGCAGTTCGACAACGACAACGACAGCAGCGCTATATATCGAACGTTTTGCATTTAACTGTCAATTAGATTTCAATTATGCATTGGTAATTGAAGTTGTCCAGGCATCGTTTCGTTTCGATTGGGTTGAGTTTGGTTTTGGTTTCGTTTGGTTTTGGTTTTGGCTCGATTCGATTCGATGCCAGACACGTTTTGGCCCCAGTCAAGACCAAAAGTTGCAGCCGGAGCACACAGAGCACACAGGCATTGTTAACACTTGTTTTCACTCGACTCGACAAGCGGCCGCCAGTCAGCCAGAGGCCGCCAACTAAATAAAGACTAACGAATGCTCTGCAGGCCTATGTCAGAAGTTTCCTATCTGAAATTATACATTTGAAGTTTTTAAGAGAATTAACAGATAAGATAATGGAAGATTCTAGGAAATATATGATTGACATTGATTGAAAAATAATATTGATTATTTTCAGCTATGAAATGCCTTGGAATCTTTCATGCTTTATGGTTATTTAAGAACACATTCAGACCAACAATATCCAACTGTCCAGAGTGTAGAAAACGTAGAAGACAAATGCTAAATAGAAACGTCATAAACTTATGTGGCAAATTGCAAACAAATGCAGCCAACAGTTGCATATTGAACGGAGAAAAAGAGACAGAGAGAGATTGTAAAAGAAAGAAAGAAAGAGAGGCAGCAGCAGCACAACAAAAGGCAGTTGGGGCAAGGCAAGTCAAGTCAATGGCTGTTATATTTGACTGGCTAATTGCAAAAAGCGGTTATGAAATGAATTGACAGGCCAGTCAGGGAACCCCATTGAGGTTAAACAGCTGCGATTCGTTGCAAAAGACAGACAAATACTATGTACAACTATAGCTAATAATATTCGATTTTTATTGTTTTTCTATTTTGCAGAGAACTCGGGCAAGCCGCCGGCCAAAAAGAAGAAAACAGCAACGACCAGCACAACGGCGGCTGCAGCCCCAGTGGCCATGCCACCGGACATAAGCCCCACGGGCAGCAGCGACAGCCTGATGCGGGACAAGCTAATGGCCACCAGCACCAGTTCATCGGCCAGCACCGGCAATGCGCCACAGCAGTTAGCCAGCAATAACAATAGCAATATGGAGACCACCGAAGACGACTCCGATTCGGGCTCGAACGATGCGCGGCGCAAGAAGAAGGCGCGGACCACCTTCACGGGTCGCCAGATCTTCGAGCTGGAGAAGCAGTTCGAGGTCAAGAAGTATCTCAGTTCCAGCGAGCGCACCGAAATGGCCAAGCTGCTGATAGTCACCGAAACACAGGTACTTTATTTATATTTTCAACCTATTAATATTCAACAAAACACACATTATGTGCCACTGGGGGATTATGCCAAACATTTGCTTTATTTATTTCAACAAAAACAACTTCAAAAAGCATATGCACGCAATTTGTGGTCATTTAATTAAATTAAGCTCTCTCCCTGTCTCTCTATCTCTTTGTTAACCTCTCTCTCCCAGCAATCCCAATCTAATGCTCATATTTTTCAATGAATATTCAATTGTCCGAGTGGGTTCGGTCCGTAGAGTGTGCTCGAATATTCAATTTGCCTAATTTGCACAACGTCAGGAAATGCAAAATAAAAATAATAAAAACAAATTAAAACTAAACGGTTGAACAATGGGAGAGAAGAACTCTCTCCGGCTTAAACCCGACTGTTTGAAGTGCGTTTCGCAGGATGGCAGGCAGTTTTTATATAGCTTTTAGGTTTATTAGTTTAAAAAAATATCCCAATCAAACCCTAAGCTGGTTTCAAGATCATGTCAACCTCCATAAAAGCTGCACCTACGTACGTGCAATTTTCCTCTGCCTCGATCTGCATTTAACAAAAACAATTCGCAAATTATATATAATTCAGCGAGCCAACTATTTATTTGGCTCGTTATATCTAGCCCAGAGTTTTCAATGGATAACAAGCTGACCCGAAAACGCACTGTACTTTAAATAACAAGGCCATAATTGGCCATTTTAAATGTTAAATTGGCATTAAGTACATACGAGTGTAGCTGGAAGATATATATGCTCGGAATTTGAATAATTTGGGAACTATTTTATGCAGCTCAATGTTGACCCCGCCATCCATGAAATTTATCGTCATTTAATTGAAGCGCACAACAAAAGGCGGCAAGGTGTGATGCTGGTTAATGCCTCAGTAATTATAATTGTTGTAGTTGGTGCACTGCAGTTGCTGTGCCAGCTGGCAGGACATTTTCGCAGGGGAAGAGTTAATGCAATGTGCATGGCAACATGAAACTGCCTTAAAGCATAAGCAAATACAAACACACACACAGAGAGAGAGAGAGAGTCAAATAAATTGAGATTTATTGACTAATTAGAATAAATTAACTTTGCAACAAGGACATGCCTAGGGCAAACTGCCGTGAGCCAATTAGCAGCCACAACACACAATTTATGTGCATGTCCTCCGGCCCATGTCCTCGCATGACCTTAAAGCGTACCAAAACCTAATCAAAATTGAGTAAATTATTACGAGTTTGGCATTTGGGCTTAAGCAAGCAGCAAATATTCGTTCTCCAAGCTATAAGGACAAGTCCTGACTCAAGTCGGAGTTAACTTTATCTTTCGAACGTATAAACCTTGTGACAATAAAATATAAAACCACAAAAATTATCTTTCTAATCTAATCTAAGGCTCTAAGCGCTAGGCTTGCCAATAGAATTGCTTCCGATTTGGATGAATAATCTCACGTTACGCATACGCCGTGTGTAAGCTCAAATGCCATAAGACTAATTGGCAGCCCCAGCTAAAGACAAAGACAAGGACACTGACAGAGACAGAGACAGAGATAGACAGATACAGTTAGATAGAGACAGACAGACAGACAGAGAGCCAAGAACATGCGACACAGAGGCGCATCGAAGTGCTTGCTTAATTAAATTACATTCTCCATCAAGTCAATTAATTACAATTTCATATGCGTAACTGTACGATATAAACAATATACATATACATATATATATATATATACATGGACAAACACTAAGCACACTCACAACCCCCTTCTCCCTCTATAACTCTCTGTGTGTGTGTGTGTGTGTGTGTTCTTGGGTGAGCCAACATGTTCATGCATGTCGACATGCTCAAGTGTTTTGTCTGTGTTATTAATATTATAAGCCACCACCGACCATTTATCATCCTGGCAGTGTCCAAGCCAAAGGACATGGCAACCGCCTTCGTAGCGCACGTCGCTCCGAAGTGCAGTCAGTGGCCAGATTTCGTCTCGCTCTACCCCCGCCAGCTGTGTTTATATACAAAACAGGGGGTACGTCCTGGGCGCATAAACATGTATGTGTTAATCACAGCAATAATATCAGCAAATTAACTGCAGGACACGGACACACTGGCCGCTCGTGTGCATATCCTGCTGTGGCCAGCATTAAGCCTCTCGGCCATTTGCATTGGCACTTGCCAATTTTCCCATTGACCGCCCACACACACAGCATGTATTGTGCTCGCTCGGATCGGATCGGATTGGATTTACTTTACTTTACACAGTGCCAGTGCCGACCACTAATTGGAATCAAATTACCAGCTTCACTGATAATTACAAGGCAGTTTTGTTTTAACCTGACCAGCAGCTGATAAAAAATTACAAAATAAAAATAAACCAAAATAAATATTCCAAAAAAAATATAATACATTAAAAGCTGCTGGCAGATTATCTGTCTCTTAAATACGGCAAAGTTTCAATATGACTCAAAAGATAATCAGCCTCAAATGCAACTACAACTAGAGCTTCAATTCCCCGTGCTGACTTCCTTAAAAGTTACAAAAAATATGGAACCTAAAACAAAGTGTGGGCCATAAAATGCTCTCTAAATAGACTCTCGACAACGGGGCCAGAATGCCTGTGTGGGGCAAAGTGGGCCCCTGTGCCCATCCTCTATAACGCACTCCATGTCACCCATCCAGGGACTCGCCTGTCTGCGTCGTCTGTCATCAACAAACTGTAAAATAGCCTTAAGCCAGATAAAAATCAATTAATTACGCGTAGATGCGGCTGCGGCTGTCCCTGCCCTGCCCCCATGCGCAGCATGCAACACACACACACACAGGGACACAGCGGCACTCACCCACACTCTGGCACACTGACAACATTGTAATTGTGTTGCGATTACCAAACGAACGTCACGCGCCAAACGCAGCAAATTACATTTGCATATTAGTGCCAGCGGCCAAAGAGGAGAGGAGGCAGGCCGTGCCACATGGCGAGGGGAGTGAAGCGGGAGGCGGCTGCAGAGTGTGGAATAATGCTGCATGCCGTATGCTGCATGCCGCACAGATAGGGGCCTGCTGCACCGACACTGTTTAGCTTGTGGTTCGCCGTGTGCAACTGTCTCGACAATTTGCATTAGGCATTTCATTTTAAATGTTTGCCCACGCAGGGCTCATAAACCCGAATGTAATTGCCACTCAGGTGCGCCCCCAGGGAGTGACCTAAATGCTGATTTACTCAGTGATCCGAACTACTGGTTCCCCATGCAAATAATCCTTTGATTATCCGAGGGAGAGTGGATCTGTGATTAAGCAGCTAAAACTATGATTGAAACTTACTGAAAAGATAGAAACCAAGAACCCTTGTTGAAATATTTGCCTGCTTTGGAACTGTTTCCAGTTTCGGAGACATTCAATTCAAGTGTCACACTCCAAAGGCTGTGAATCAGTTCCCAAGTGAACCACACAACTCATATCCAGATGCCCCACTCTGCAGATTTGACCCGTCTCTCTGTCCCTCTGTCTCTTTGTCTCTCTGTTTCCCTGTCTCCCTGTCACTGTACATGCTCGTATTCTGTGTGTGTCGGTTTGTTGGTTTGGCCCTAGCCCAGGCTTATGCCCGGGCCCAGGCCCAGGCTCTGTCCTGGCTCTCTGGCAGTTGGCCAAATGACAAATGCGATAATTAAATTAAACTGCTGCCACAAGCAGCACAAACAAATCAAATGGCAATTCATCTCTGAGGGCAGCAGCCCAGAATGGTGACCCATCTAGGCCATATTCCATATTGTTGTGGGTTCCACATTGTTTCTGCTGCTGCTGCTGCTGCTCCTGCTGCCGCTGTGCCTGTAGGCCTCCAGGCTTATTTACATTCATGGCCTGTTTGTGTCATTGAAAGGGCAAAAATTATGCTGCGTAAAATGAATTTTTGCATATGCAAATGAACATGCAAATACTCGTACCCAAAATAGCCAACGGCCAACTGCAGACAGTCCTTATATGCAGTTGTATGTATGATTATTATTATTGTTAATATTGCCATCGATATCTATCAGTTGCAGTTTGGGCAAAACGTTTTCGGATTGCATTCCATTCCGCAAATAATTCTGTCATTTACAGACAATCAAACAATTATTTTCCATATTTTATTACTTAATGGTTGGGCAATTAAATCAAATATTGCACAAGTATATATAAAATAATTTTAATTACAAAAGGAAGTGGCCCGAGTTTTATTATTAAATATATATTTTAATTGGGCAATAGAAATTCGAATTTAAATGAAATTATTATTATTGATGCCACTTGGAATGGCTTCTTATGACTTTTAAATGTATCCTAAAACAAAAAAGTGCTTGAATGCTCAATTAATTCCATTTTCCATATCCCTCCTTTTCCCTTGTCTAATTTATTAACTAATTGGGGCTAATTTGCTTTTATTAGTCGGTAATTATTGAATCAATTTCTGCATAACTAAAATACACCCAAAACAAAAACAAATATCGCGCATACGCCGTGTATAACAAAAGCCTTTAACGAAAATTAAATTTGAAGCAAAGCAAACAGCAGGCAGTGTTTTTGCCCATAATTAATAAATAAACATTGCCTAATTGATAATTTATGTTTCGATATTTAATAACATGCTAATATTTGCCGGACCTACATTCACGAATTCCCCGCCCCACCCCTCCAAGCCACAAACGTGGCAGCCGCAAAAGTGTCACTAATTTATTTTCCTCTCCTAAATGTGCATAAACTGAAAACAATAAATGCAATTTGCTATTATTAGGATTATTATTGGGCACCGCAACTTAATTAAATTGCTACGCATACGACCCGCTGCCACCACACAAATGGCTGAATATTATTTAAGCTTTATGTTGGCTTCCATTCAGCTCCATTTACAGCTCTCTCTCTCTCTCTCGGACTCGGCTGTTTTTGCATAAATTATTTAATTTGATGGCGGACCACTTGAAATTATTCATAAATCAGTTTAACACCGCAATGGCAGGCTGTAGCAGCAGCATCA